GTCTAAATTATTACATTTAAAATTAAAACTCTAATTCAAGCAGAATAGCCTATTGTCAACATAATTATGGAGTGTGATTTATTTTCACCTCAAAATATCTTCAAACTAACGAARTATAAAGTTATTAGGGAGGAAAATCCGTCTGGATAACAGCAGACTGACTCCTCGTAAAATATACGACAGGTCTGGACCACTCGTAAATTTTCTTCGTATCTGAAAAAAATCGTAGAATACGAAAACATTGGTGAATGACACAAATTGTCCTAAATCACTCGTACGCACAATTTAAGAACAAATCTGTGCGTACGAACGGTTCTTGCATGAGGCCCATTGTTCCCACTGGACAGAAAGGATGCGGGCGGGACTAAGTGCACAGACCCAGCAAAAATATGGAAGTCCTGCGTGCTACGGTTCTGACGTGCACATGTATACTATTAGTACAACTGCAATATATTTACAATGTCAAAAGCAGCTAATTTAATGGTGGTTTTGTGATGATATTCTAATTTTGGAGCGATGTCAGTAAATGTGTGCCACAGCCCAAAGGAGACGAGGTGCGCTGCGTGTTCTGACCCACTACATGCTGACAACAGAGCTGCTAAGCAGGAGACAACAAAACAGGTATGATTTCAGTTTATTTAGCTCAGCAACAGTGGCCTGTGAAGTCCAAAAAGTGCATGTTTTATGTAGTTGGTTCGGTAAGAGTCCGGTCTATAWKCACACCAGAAGCAAACTGAAGTGAACYGYACCAGAGTTCGATTGGAAGTGGACAGAGACACCTCAAAAAGCAGGTCTCGGTCCGGTTGTTTGATCTGCACCAGAGTTCGCACAAGTGTATTCACACCTGTACAAAAAGTCTGGACCAACACTGGAAACAAACTCTGGTTCATTTAAAGTGGACCAAATGTGTCAGGTGTGAATACGACCTAAAGCAGGGGTGTCAAAGTCATTTTCACCAAGGGCCACATGAGCATCATGGTGGCCCCTCAAAGGGCCACTTGTAATTTACTTTGATGTTTCATGTTTACCTTCAACTAAAAAGGAAACACCATGTTCCTTGTCTCATTGCTATGGCTGAGCTCTGCTAACAAACAATAACTGAGCTCTATGTGGTGTTTCCTGCATTGAAACATCATTTTAACACATCTTCTTATAAACACTGAATGACTGACTAAATGTGAAATAAATAATACATAAATATTATTATAAATGAAAGTATAGGAGTTTTACTCACTGACGAGTTGTGGTGAGAGTCAGCCATCTTAAATTCAGAAATTTCCCACTTTCTAACAGGGAATTCCCACTGGAGGGGCATTCCAGTTTAAATGTATGACTTGTAAGTGGGAGGTTCCCACTTCACAGTGCAAATAGGCTGCAGAAGAAGTAGCTAGCAAAAAAAAACAAAAAAAACCAGCTAAATGTAAATTTTACATGATCAACTGCAGGCTATTTATAAACCCTGTGCAGTGACGCCTAATGTAGTGGTGGGATGTTGTAATTTGGCAGGTAAAATAACCATGTATTATGGGAGGTATAGTTTATGGTCAATGCTGGCTTAAAAGCATCATATGCTTATTTTAAAGCCGTTAATACATCTTTGATGCTCTCGGGGGCCACATAAAATATTGCGGAGGGCCACATTTGGCCCGCAGGCTTTGAGTTTGACACGTGACCTAAAGCAAGAGTTGTGTCCACACTCATGGCACAAAGTCAGGCTTCATTCTTACAGGTTTGACTCATCCAGTGTTCATGGACAGGATCTCAAGGAGCAGTCGTAGAAGGCTGTCAAGATTGGAAACTTCAGGATCTTGTCTCAGCTTTATGTGAATGATTTGGTTCTGTCGGCTTTCTTTGGCCATGATCTTCAGCATGCACTGGTGCCTTTTATAGCTGAGTGTGAAACGGCAGTCAGTTCCTTTGTGTCCTTTTCATGAATGATAGTAGGATGGAGAGGAGGTGGATCGAAGGCTCGGGGCGTTGCTTTTGTTGTATGTGGTGAGGAGGGAGCTGAGTCAAAGCTCTCATTTCACTGGTCTATCTAACTCTCAACTATGGTTATGGAGTATAGATCATGACATAATGAACGTGACCACTGTTTGGTTATTTTGATTTTGAAATTCACAGTTTGCTTCTTACATGTTTGTTAATACACTCGTGGTGTTTTCTAGCTTTCTGTTTTAGACATGGCAACAATAGGCTGGGTGTGTGTGAGGATTTTCTTTCTTCTAGGAGATCAAAGACATTTTAAAGGCACACAAAGACAGTGTGAATGAGACTAAAGAAAGAGACTCTTGATTGTGTTAACGAACAAAGCTTTAGTGGTTTAACTGCTTGTGAAATCATTCTGCAATGTGGGTATAACAACCAAAATCATTATTAACAATATTATTGAATCACTTAATTCACAATGTCTAGCAAAGTGGTTCTGATGAGAAATACTGGTACTAAAGTACTGGTTATAAGTATCAAAACATCAAAGTAAGTTATTGACAGTGACATACTTAAGTTTTATACAGGCTTCACATATTATCTGCAATGCTTGCACAACAATTTTATATACATATATCCACTATATTGCCAAAATTATTGGCTCACCTGCCTTGACTCAGCATATGAGCTTAAATAACATCCCATTCCTAATCCATAGGGTTCAATCTAATGTCGATCCACCCTTTGCAGCTAGAGCAACTTCAGCTCTTCTGGGAAGGCTGCCCACAAGGTTTAGAAGTGTGTTTATGGGGATTTTTGACCATTCTTTCAGAAGCACATTTGTGAGGTCACATWCTGATGTTGAACAGAAGGCCTGGCTCTCAGTCTCCAC